TTGCAATGTTTTGCTACAGGATCTGACACCGCTTCATGTCAAGATTACGAGGAGTACGAATTTGTTGAATGTTTGTCATGGGGAAACTCAAATTATCGACTTATTGACAAACTGTAAGTTACAACTACATAAGTTTTCTCAATACACGCTCGCAGATCGTCTCTTCTGAGTTCTTGCTAGTTGTGGATTCTGTTGGATAACATGAAGAATAATGATAATGTAGATCTGCAGGTTTTAAAAACTTATTCATTTTCGAAAGCAGCCACCATTCAGAGGAATCTTTTTTCCCTTGTCGGTGTCATATCTTGAATTTCTACCCCTTGGTAATCCGTCCACTACTCCCGTGTTTTTCAGACAATCAAATAAATAAACAACCTGAAAACCTTTACGTAAACTTCAGAGAGTGTTTCGAATATTACCCCCAGCTCGCAGAGACCTCGTTGTTTTAACAATGTAATCCTTCATCTTAATGAAATAATTAAAAACGCTGTCGTCAATCGAAATTATTCTTGGAAGTCTTGAAAGTCTTCGCCCTTCATTCAGCTATGAGCGAACCTTGCTCTGTCAGAGCGCGTGAGAAAACTGTGGAAACAGTTGATTGATGTCCACGAAAACTCAGGTTTCAACTGAGAGAAAAAACCCGCTTCGAGGGCGCATGTTAGTGGTAACCGCTGCAAAGGAGAAATTAGAAAAAGTTTGAAAAATCGATTTTATGCCTGTCAGTTTTCGCACAAAACAAGGAAGGATGCAATGGCAACTGCAATAGAAGGGTGAATGCATAAGAAACATTCCCTGATATTGAAACTTCATCGAATTATTATTTCGTTCTTACTCTTTACAGCAAGGAGCCCAAAAGTGTGACTGCTTTTGATTTATTCACATTCTTTCGTACAGATTTAATCCAATCAGAAGCCAGCTGGACACTGTCCTTGACTTCTGATTGGTTAATGTCTGCATAAAAGAATGTGAATTAATTAAAGGAGGTCACACTTTTGGCCTCCTTGCTGTAAAATCTAAAAGAAAATTTGAAAAACAATGTTTGGTATTTTTATTTTAATCGACAAGTTTGAGGAGGTCATATTTGTGACGTTGGACATGGTAGAAAGTGAAGGCCAACTTTGACTATTACAAAAGGCCTATAGTATATGCCACTTTGTAATAAGATCAATGTAAAATGGTACCTTGGCTATTACTCTAACTTACTGGAAAAGTCTGGAAAGTTTTAGCTGTGGAAACCAAATACCATCATGACACCAAAAGAAGCGGTGAGAACAATTGAATATAGAAAATTAATGCAAATTAGACGGCTCACGGATGTTTGTCAAAATAAAAGAAAAGTTTTACATGAAAAGATTACTCACCATTGATTCTAACACGTTTTTACTGTGAGGAAAGTTATTTCCAACTTCAGTTGCGTCGTTTTGATTCACAAAAACCATAATTTTAAGCCAAACGACAAACCTTTGCTCAGCAACTACGTCGGAGCAATCCGGCCATGATTTGAAATCAAGTCACACGTCACTGCGGTCCTTTAGTAGCACTTAAATAAAAAATACACTTGTTTCACAGCCTGTCAATAACTATTAGGTGTCTATAAAAGAAATAGACTGCAGAACAGGGGCCAATTTTTTTTTTTTTTTGCGCTTTTCACGCCAGCACTGCGAAGCGGACTTGGAGCGCGAGACACGCGCGATATATGGAGAACAAGTTCTGCAGGCTACAAAAGAAATTAAAAATATCAAATAAAACAAGCCTGTTTCTATTCCGATTAGTCTATTTCTTGCTGAAAGCAAACGTGAAAATCGTATTAAAATTCTTGACAGTATGCTAACGTGACTTAAGAGTGTGACCGATTTTCTATTCACACCACAGGTAACCCAGGCTCTGTGTAGTACCACAGTACGGTTCCAGTAAAATTACAGTGTTTGTATGGGGTAACAACAAGATCCTAAAATTTCTAGGAAATACTGAGTAAAGATCAATAAAACTTACTCTGGAGTTAGTTGTTGTTGTCCTTAATGCTCCAACAAAGTTTGGTGATGTTTTGTTCAAATTCACTCTATATTTAACAATTATTCGCCGAAGGCGAAGTTAATATTGTTCAATAATCCCCGAGACGAACAGTGAACACGAAGCCATAAACAGTGGATGCGCAAAAGTTAGATCTTTACAGTATCTTCAAACATGGCAAATGATAGTTTTAATCTGTTTGTATCGAGTTTTGTAAGGTTTAGCATCAACGGTTTAAAGAAGACGCCGAAAATTTAAATTACTACCCAATTCTGAGAAGAAACGTAGAGCTATATTTGTTTCTGTCAACTCACCGTGAATGAAAAATTTTTCTTTGTCGCTTCTTGCAAATGCTGTCAACAGAGGCTACGATCAAGGTGAGCGTTGTTTATCTCCAAAGTTCTTTGCCTTGTTAACTTGCTGGCACGTACAATTTTCGAAAATATTTGCCTTCCTCTTTTCTCCATAAATTAACTTCTATTTATAGGCAAAATTGGTCTTGCGAGAAAATCCCGAAATCAAAAAAAAAGAGACAAAGCGACCTCGTTTCGTAGTGGTAAACATAGCTTCGAACATACAAAAAGTCAGCTACAGTAAACCACTTAAGCAATAGACCACACTTTCTATTGGTTTACCGGCGTGATAACCCACGCGGGATGTTGGGAGAACACGAGAAAAGCTTGTAAATCAGTCGCCTTCGGCTCGTGATTTACAAGCTTTTCGAGTGTTCTCCCAACATCCCAAGTGAGTTATCACGCCGGTAAACCCATAGAAAGTGTGGTCTATTGCTTTTATAAAATAACTTTTAGTAAAACGGAGCCTTTTAGGTAAAAAATGTGGTTTTAGTACCGTGATCAAGCCATGTCTTCTCTCTAAAGTCACCATAAGCCAATCATGACTCACGATTTAAAAGCGCCGAACTTTCTCAAAACTCGGTTCAGTCAAACGACAAACAGCAACACTTCAAAGCACGAGTTTTTCCACTCATTACATGATAACTTCAGGAGAAGTCAACACATATTCATGCGAAGGTACAATGAAGTTTGTTTACTACAGAAGTAGAAAATTGAACATCAAACTGTACGCAGCTGTATTTTGTTGAGTCGATCCGTAAACATTTCGTGCCCCAGTTACTGACCAAACTGGCTGCAGTGGTTTAAGATCTGTTTTCTGGACTTTATCATGATCAAGAAATGTTGCGGTAACGACGTAGCTGCATTTGCGAAGTTGTCGCATGTAACGTACGTATGTAGAGCGACCGATGGAAATATGTCAGTGGTACCTCTAAATTTGGAAAAAGGTTTCTTTCCCGTAATCACGTATTAGCGTTAATATTTGTCGGTTTGTAAAGTCAGGTGGTTTTAAGTAGGTTATGGCATCGATATTACCGAATAATTTGTGCAAATGTTGGAAAAAAGCAGCGCGAAACTCTGACAACTTTCATCATCGTTTACAGCTTGTTTACAATCTGCAGTGGCCGATTTTGTACCATAACTTGGTCAGATATCTCTTTTCGGAACAATTTCTTTCATTCAGGAATTTAATTTTGACATAAAATAAATCAAGAATGCTAAAACGATCCGTTTTGTTGCTGGTTGGCACATTGTTAAGCTTTCCTAAAGACTCTCTACACCAGAAATTCACACAGTTGTTGTCTTTCTCTGCGATTTGGCATCGTCGTGAAATGTAAACTGCTTTCCAGCTTTGTACTTTATAACTTTTAAAGCTATGGCAGCAGCAAATTGTAGTGCTCTGTAATAAAATGTGGAAACCAACACTTTTTTATATTAAGAAGGGCTGGCTAAGTAACTTTTTCTATTTTTAATTCGTTGTTTGCAGATCAATGGCCCGTTTTGTATATGGCTCGTGCTCCGGGTGCTTTTTTCTATGGGTTTACCGGTATAATAAACCATAGGTTTTTGACCAATCAGATCCAAAAAGACCGAGAACATGGTCGCCGAAGTTGCCGGGCCAGATAACTTATAACCCTGCCCTATCAGGAGCCGATTACTTCTCGGCTCCTGGCCCTACTGATGTTTGATAGACTTTCTCAGGACCAGCGCCAGGTGCTGAATATAGTTCGAGAGGGACATAATGTCTTTATAACAGGCTGGGTGGAACGGCTGGGAAGAACAATTGCATTCTATCAAGTATTTTTCCAGCAGGGGAGGATGGCTTTGGGCAAATGATGTATCGGTCCCCAGAAAGGTCACCTCAGGACTCCCGGGATGGATTTTTTTTGTACAGTGCCCAGGCCTCATTTTCTTGGCCGCGCGTTTATCTGGCCCGGCTCCTTCGGCGAGCATGTTCTCGGTCTTTTTGGATTATATCCTTCGAGTTTGTCAAAGTCTGTGCATGGGATTCGTTTCTCTATCTGCGAAAGCTTCATTGATTTCTATATCTGCTGCTATCCTATTTCTACGATCCTGGCATGTTTATTTTCCGTTGAAAATCGAATTTCGTGGAAAAAGTTGTGTTGAAAGGGAGCACGGCGGCGAAAATGGCATCTCCTGTCTCCTACCTTGTATATTATTATTGTATATAGAGTGAATTTGAACAAATTATCACGAAACTTTGTTAGAGCATTAAGGACAGCAACAACTAACTGCAGAGTAAGTTTTATTGATCTTTATTTAGTCTGATTTCCTAGAAATTTTAGGATCGTGTTGTTACCCCATACAAACTTTGTAATTTTACTGGAACCGTACTGTGGTACTATCACAGAGCCTGGGTTACCTGTGTTCACACGCTATAAATGGCCATACGATCTTATGCGCCGTTTATTATCAGCTGATGAACGACTGAAGTGATGAAAGGTTTGAGAAATCAAGGTCACTAGTTTGCGATGAATTTTCATTCCTTTTGTCTCGCGACTGAAGCAAACTCTTGTGACTCTTGTTACCAAGGACCGCCGTGACGTGTTGTGACTTGATTTCGATTCACGGATTGCGTTCATTGCTGAACAAACGTTTGTCTTTTGGCTTAAAACTATGGATTTTGTGACTGAGAACGACGCAGTTGAAGTCGGAAATAACGTTTCTCACAGTGAAAACGTGTCTCAAGCAATGGTGAGTAATCCTTTCATGTAAACCTTTTCTTTTAGTTTGACAACCGTCCACAAGCCGTCTAATTTGCATACATTTTCCCTATTTAATTGCTCTCACCACTTGCTTTGGTTTCAGGATGGTATTTGATTTCCACAGCTAAAACTTTCCAGTAATTTAGTAAAATAGCCAAGGTACCTTTTTATTTTGATTTTATGATCAAGCCGCGTATACCAGAGGCCTTCATTTTCTAGCATTTCCAACGTCACAAATATGACTCCTTTAGACTTGTCGATTATAAAAATATGAAATATCGTTTTTCAAATTTTCTTTTAGGATTTTAAAGAGTAAGAACAAAGTAATAATTCGATAAAGTTTCAATATCAGGGAATGTTTGTTACGCGTTCATCCTTCTTTCGAAGTTGCCATTGCATCCTGCCTTGTTTTGTGTGAATAACAGGCATAAAATCGGTTTTTCAAACTTTTTCTAATTTCTCCTTTAAAATGAATCGGTTGAACTCAAAACTATTTTTTCTTAAATTAGGTCACTAAAAGGAATGTGACTGGCAAAATAATAAAAAAATTGTTTTTTTGACGAGTGTTTTTCGATTTTCGATTTCCTCAGAAATTGGCTAGTGGCTAATAGCTATTTCGCAATAAATGGATATGATGGCAGTTAAAACATTTTTCTAGGCTGCAGCTAGGCTCAGGGAGGGATTCACCAAATTCTGTGTCTACATCGATGGCTCCAACCTGCCGGAGAACTGTGAATTCCAACTGGAACAAGTTGTACAAGGAGATGGTGTTGATTCTGGGGATTTGCTTACACAGTATCGACTGAAACCAGCGGAGGGTTTTGGCAAACAGGTGTGTTGTTCTTTATATATCTCTATCTATAAATAATTATTTAGATTTCTGGAGTCGGACTAATTCAAACACATTTATTTGCAACTTTGAGTTTCATGCTTCTTACGAAGCAATCATTAGGCAACTGACCACAATAACGGTTAAATTATTTACATTCCATGATATACAAATTATATATAGATTTAGCCAGGGCTAAAAGCGAAGCTCTGGTTTATAATACGTGTAAAATTAAATCGTGTAATGCTAAACGGGGACGACAACGAAAATGGCTTCAAGACTAACAGATCTAATTAGCAAATAAACAAATTGCACGTGCAGCACGCTCTTTTGTCTTTCCCTTGCCGTTGTTTTGCACGACTACAACGCTGTTTTGTACGACTGAACCGTAAAATTTCCTAGTTACACGCCCTTTTTATGGAGAAATTGTCGTATGTGCTTACCCAATATTTTTTTTCCTGTGTTCATGTTCCGTGCTTTTATTTTTCACTGCCGCTCATTTTCAACTTGCTGGCCGCTAGCATTTCTTATTTTCTCTGAATTTCCATGTTTTTGTCCTACGAAATTCGTCTGCTTTGTTTTCAATAACTCGCTCAAGCTCTTTCTCTGTTGTCCACGTTAGTGTAAGCATAAAAAATAACACCGAAAAGGACACGACTTTGTTGTTTTTTCTTTCTAAAAGTCCGGGCGGCCATATGATTTCCTTCCAAATAAAAGCTTGAGTTGTATTTGAGTTGCCATGCCTGTTGATTAAGTAATTTTACATTGGTATGCCTGTGGTGCGGACGGACGGTCGGGCGGGCGGTCGGTCGGTGTACGGTCACGTGATTACCAAATTTTCTCGGATGGGTAGATTACCACATTTCCTTAGCTTTGGGGCTCCGCCAAGGCGTGGAGCTCCGCTATGAAAACAGGGAACAATGCCCACTAACGTGACTTGTCAAGATGTTATTAGACAGCTCTGGTTTACCATCGAGCACTTTTATAGTAGATGAAGTCTTCGGTTTATCTGCTGCTAATCACATATCTATATCTGTATTTTTTTGCCAAAGTTATTCATTTGTCTTCTTATTTTGCTTTTTGGGAATATGAAAATGGCTTCCTTGACGGTTGGTTAAATGTCCATGATTCTAGTTGTTATCAAACTTTGGCGAAGGGGAAGGGAGAAGGGACAGGCGGAAACAGTTGAGGAGAAAACTCAGAAACTACCCATTTAATTGAGAAGGAGAAGAACTTTTGCGGAAACATATGCCCAAAACTGGCTTTTGTTTTGGAAAGTTAAACAGTTAAACAGCCAAAACCCTTAAATTTGCATGTGGCGAAAGACGACAACAATTACACAAATTGTCGAGCTCGCTTCTCAAAATCCGCTAGACGCGAGAAAAAAAAGTACTGTTATTCCTAAATTATGCGGCTGGTTGAAAGTATGAATTACATGTTAGTTCTGAATTGCGCTAATCTGTGGCTGCAGAAAAAAAAATAGTTTCTAGCATACGCTTGATTCCTTGTTTGGAAACGTGCCAAAATTTCTTTTATTGATCTTCTCTCGCACGGTTTCTAGGCGGCGATATCCAAGGTGTGACCTGAACACTTGGATGGTTCCATCATAGTGGAAATTTGTGGCGAAAAGATTGCGAAAAGGTAGCGCAAACCAGTCAAAATGTGGGGTTGGTTTGCCCACATAATGTTCTTTCTCGAAGTTTTTAGTGCTACTTTAATTTTCGGTTTATGTTTTCCCTTGGTTTGTTGTCTTACGGCCATGGCGACCCTTTAAAGCCACACCTGAACCTTCGAGGTAAGCACTTGTTGTTGTCGTCTTGTGTTATTTGTCCTTGTCTTGTACTTGTTTGAGGTATGGCATTTTCAAGAACATGATAATGTGACCAGACAGTCATATTTTTTCAACTCCTTATCCACTTGCCTCAGGCTAAACAAACACCCTGGATATTACTGAATTTTTTTCAATAATCAGCCTCTATTTTTCTTTGGGAACAGAGCTGATGTTTATTTTAGACGTGATTTACAGTATTCCCTATCCATATCGCTAAAAAAAGCCAGTATAGTACAAAAACTTAAAGGTTGTTTCATCCTAAAAAGGTCAGTATTTCAAAAGATAATATAATATATTTCTAAGCTTTATTAAACCTTATAAGTGGAAGACAAGTGTTTTCTCATGAAAAAGAAGTGAAGGTCCTACTATTAACCTGGAGAGTTTGCTTTCAGGGCCGTAGCCAGTATGAGGCAAACCGAGGCAATTGCCTCAGGCATTTTTTTTTCCCGGGAAAGTAAGAGTTTTTGAAGAAGAAAGAAAGAAACTAGCAGCAAATAAATTCAGAAACAGTTAAATAAATAAAAAATGTTAACGCAACTTGGTATTATGTTTAATGATAATGCGAATCAGGCAGTAGCCTGAATAGGCCACTTGCACTGAGAGGTCACGTGACCAATGCTTCCTTTAAAAAATGAGTTGGAATCTTGTTCATGCTAAAATTGACAGAGCAGATATTTTATGGCACTTTGATTTTTCGACAAAGTAGTATGATTTGCACTGGCCGCCATGTTTGAGGGCATACTCTTGCCCCCCAACATGGCAGCCAAAACTACTCTTTGCTTATACCTTGTTAAACATTTGATATTTACGCTCAGATGTGCTGTAAACGTTACAACATCATCTTTTCTAGATTTTCCTTTAAGTTTAAGTGCAAAATTTGTGTTCAGAAAGAGGTAATTCATAACTTTAAAAATCACACATTTTGGTCACGTGACCAGCTGCGTACTTACTCATTTTAAGAAAATGGTGCGGGTTTGAAAAACCAAATCACTATTATTTTGTTTAAGATATGACCCGCTAATCGTTTTTCGAAGGCAAAATCGTATAACCTTCTTTTCATAAAAACGATGTCACATGACCTCTTGGTGCAAATGGCCTGTTACAGATGAGAAAAATTAAGCAAAAATTCATGCTAACCAGGCAGCGGCTTCCCAAAATATTTCCTCATTTTCATGTGTTTTGCCGCCATTTCTCGCGTCTTCTTTCTTCTCTGGTCTAACTGTCTTCTCCGAGAGCAAGTCCTCTTCATCCTTTTACTTCAAAACATGGGCAGTTGTAAAGTCGAAGATAGAGATAGGGAAATAAACGAGGGAAAATAAGACGCGCAAAACATCGAATGTAAGAGGTTGGATGGCTTCAATAATGTGACGTCACATTTTTCCACTATATTGTAACCAATCATGTCAGCCAGTTTCCTATCCAGTCCTTCTATTATCCATGCACAAAGCAATCCCAGTTTTCTGAGGTTCTCAGTAACCATGAATGAAGCCGCAGAGATAGCTGCACCAGGTTTGACGAATGGGACGATATCTCTTTCTTTAAGAACTGAATAATCTTATTCACTTTGTTTCCTCTTTAGGAATCTGTCGGTGTAACGTTAAATCCGTCATATCTCCCAAAACTTGAGGAGGATGTTTTGGAGTGTCTCCGCAACATAAAACGAGAAATGAATACAGGAGATAAAGCAGACATGTGGTGTCACTTTGGAAAGGCCTTGATACGGGGACCAAACATAGGTGATGTTGACTTTCTTATTGGCTAATTTTTATCTAAGAATTTAAAGTTGCAGACAAGTTATATTACTCTACGACATCATGCCCATTCGAACTATTCGAAAGGGACGTCTGAATCAACGAGCCGTTAATGCCGTCCAGTGACGTCACTACTCCTTTGCTTTGATTCATGCAAACAACTGGCAATAAAGAAATATCGACCTGAAATGTCTCTATGGTACAGAATTACTTTACTCTTAAATTGTAATTCATCTTAAACGTTCAAACTGTTAACTACATGCAGTTCTCTGAACGAATCTTTTGCTTGTATAGCGCCATAATTCAATAATCAACCTCGATCCTGGTCACGCAAGAATGAAATACACACGGGACACTTCAAAACCACAACAATTTGCTTTAATTTAAAAAAAGCTATTTGGTCCTTACGAAGAAGAAAAAAAAAAACAGGAAAAAAAGGCTTACAGAATCATTACACTTGACAGTGGAAATGACAGGAAGTCCGAAAACTTGCTAGCTCGACACAAAAATTGATCACCGATGCCTCGCATAAACGAAATCACTACGGAGACCACAAAGCGACTCAAAATGAAAGCCTACCGACTTTCCGCGTTGATTCTTCATTCGTAGGTAAATTTAGAAACTCATAGTTTCAAAGACAAGGGCTATTTTGCTGATTACAACAAAGATTGTCGAAATTTTGAACTCTACGCAAGTGTGCGATCCGCTCACTTCAGACGACAGTCGCACTATATTGAGCCGGACACGAAAACCCCGAAACAACAATTATTGGAAAAATAGGGACCGTGTAACCCCAATCAAGGCTTTGTCGTCGCCTATAATGCTTTTAAGGTTACGTTATTAACATTCACGAGGTTCACACGCGTCATGGAGCTGTTCGCCTTTTTGTCTATTTTACTGCTATTACAGGGCTTGAAGATCAACTGTTGTTGGAATACGAGAAAGGGTAATTACCAAGAATCGCACCGGAAGAGCAGTTATTAGCTTTCCTTCTCTCGTAAGACGTTGGCAAGAGGAAAACTTTACACTCGGCACTCACCCTATAATTTTAATTTCGCGCTGGATTTACATTAGTTACAGAAGCACAAGAACAATGGTCCTATTGTTATCTAACACTACATAACAAAAGACAGACCACTGGAGGCAACGAAGCGAACTATTCAACTTCAGAGATCTCAAGACGAGTAGAAAGCAGACTTCTGGGTTGCTGGAATGAGAAAAGAGGAGTACAGTGTTTCTGTCATTCGCAGGACCTTGTTAACATCAACATGGGAGCGCAAATTTTATTTTTTACGCCGTTTTTCAGTAGACAGCGTTTCCTCCACAGGAAGCCCAAACTATCGCGTAGTCGGTGTCTGTACTACTCGAACTCTTGTGCGGTGAACCAAGTACTGCTCCAAGGAGGCGATATTGGGGTCAATCCCGACCCTCCAAAGCGAAAATCAGCAGCCCCTCGATGCCCCCAGTGTGAGAAACCTGTTGCCAGAAATCACTCCTTTTGTTTTGATGTGACTCATGCGAAGTGTTCAAAGGTTTTCGACCCAAAATATATCTGATCATCCAGACCAAAAGAATGGGTGTGTCCCAAATGTACGATCAGTGTTTTGCCTTTTTTAAGCATAACATCACTTTCGGATACCAGCTGTATGAGCGAGCCTGGAACCGAGGATCCAGACTTTGTTCATGAACACCTTCACGTGCTTCAAGAGAGATCGCACCAGGTTCGAATATTCCACATAAATACACAAAGCATGGCATCTTCGTTTGTCGAGTTACTCGCTACAATAGACGAGTACCCTTTTGACATTGCGACTATGAGTGAAACGTGGCTTAAAGATAATCCGCTCCTATTGCAGTTTGTCACCATTCCTAGCTATAGTCACGTTTTTCGCAATCACAACAAGATCCGTGGAGGCGGTGTGGGGGCATATTTGAGGGAAGGCATAAGCTACAAAAGGCGTATTGATATTGAGAATATAGCCCCAGATTTAGAACACTTATTTCTAGAGATCCCAGGCCGTAATCAGTCCGGAATATCCCTAAATTTAAGGACAGGGCCAACTGGTCACGCGACACTTTTCAACCAATGAGAAGGCGCGTTTGTGTTTATCAACAAACAAACCAAAACATCGCCGCAGTGATCAAAACAGCGGACGGAGTTGGTCAGAATCAGTCATCGTTTCGAGGCTTTCAGGCATATTTTTAAGACTTTTCATGAGGCATACACAATTTTTTTAAGTGGACAGCGTATCGGAAGCCATATTGAAAGTGTCTCGTGAAATATTCAGCACATTTTGTGGCTTATTTCTTCTTTAAACAACGCGATGTATGGGCGAGATTTTGGTCGGTTTTCAAGGTAGGTGAACAAGTATCTGTTATTTTTTCGATTCACAGATTTTTTTTTACGAAGTTCTAGATATTTTTCCTCGATTCTCATATCGATTAACTTTTATCATGTTGAATGTGGGGATGGTAGACAACCTAGAATTTTGGTAGACCAGGTTTGAATGGTCCAAAACACGTACGTTTTCCACTCCCGGGTTTCTCACAGAGGTGTGTTATTACTTTTTTTCGCATTAGTACGAGCCTTTGCCTTTTTTCTTTTCAAGGCCAAAACAACTTTATTAGTCTTATGAATATTCACGTCCTACATCTCGCCTCACTTTGCCGAATTTGCGGGGATGAAATTGGAGATGATAAGCGCAAGGTAGATACTAACCGCTTTGTTTCTGAAATTCACCAAATCTGGAAAGATTTAATGTCGCTGGATTCTCCAGATGTTCATCCACCGTTAACAAACAATCAAAGAAAGAAGGCAAATTTCAAGTGTAAATGATGTATTTCGCAACTCATTGAACATGCACTAAATCTGGGATAAAATTAAAACATTGCAGGCACTACAGCAAGCAAGGAAAGCACCAGATGCGTGAAGTCAACACGAAACAACACCAGAAAACAAACAAGAAAAATTAATAAATTTGAACTACTTTTTATTCTTGTTATGGTGACTGGTTCTTTGATTCTTGTCCTGTGGAAGCTAATAGGTAGTACCGATCCTGTTTTGTATGATCTCAACAAATTTTCACACTCTCTGTAAAGCTATTTTTACACGGGACCAGTTTGCTTCTATCAAAAATCTTGCAAGCCATGCCAGTGAAGCCACGACCTCTGCGCTCAGTCCGGTTTCAGTTCAAACACCCCAATGATTCCTTGCAATGAATAATGCTCTTATTCTCTTACATGAAATCTTTTCTTTGAAATATTAAATGTGAAACCAAGACGAGTACTGTAAGCTCATCTTTAATTCTGTCCGTCGACTCCGTCCGTTGTTTTGAAAATTTGTGAGCACTGGGGCGATGTTTTGATTTGTTTGTTGATAAACACAAGCGCGCCTTCTCATTGGTTGAAAAGTGTCGCGTGACCAGTTGGCCCTGTCCTTAAATTTAGGGATTTTCCGGACTGGTAATAGGCATATTAAAATGCTCTTAGGGGTTCTCTTTCGATCGGAACTTATTCAGAAACCACCAAACGTGGCTCAATACAGTAGAGAAATTATTCGGCCAGTTGAATGTTCTTTGGAATGGTATTATTGTCGCTACCGGTGATGTTAACGTAGAAATGCTCACGCTAAATCGTCCCGAAGTAAAGAAATACATCGGTATCCTGACGTCCCTTAACCTACATCAGCACATACAGCGCCCAACAAGAACCATAGCCCCAACTAAAACACTCATTGACCACATCATTGGTAACGCACCTAATCGCGCCTCGCATCGTTATGTGCTGCCCTGTCCAACTACTAGTGATCATGATGGACCGTATGCTTGTATTAACGTAAGGGTGAAACGTTTTCAACCCCATTACAAGTTACTCCGTGATGAAAAGCGATTCGTTGGGACAGCTGAGTAGAGTTCCTTTTAACGTCGTTTACGGTATTGATGATCCCAGCGAGAAACTATTTTTAACTCGCTCTTTAAAGCTTGTTGGGACAAGCACGCTCCTCTACGTAGAACTAAGATCACGCGACCCCCTGCGTCCTGGTTGAACAAGGAAGACATCAGGAAACTTCAGACAGAAAGGAATGTACTTGCTAATAGGTATTTAGCGCACAAAAGCAACCTAGCAAGTGTCTGGAATCATTTCGTGAGCTGCGCGACAAGATCAAGACTAAGATCAAATCAGTTAAACGTGCTTTTTTTAGGAGGGCCCTATCATCCAATAAACCCAATAAATCCAATAAACCCATATCACAACGCTTACTGGGATCAGAAGCAAATCCATCAGACTCCTTTTTAGATCTCATTAATTCCCCTCCTGAAGAGAACCGTACGTGCTCGTTTAACCTACGCCCCGTTACTTATAGTGAGGTAATGAAGATGTTAACTACTATGAGATCTGACTGTTCAACTGGCGCCGATCAGATTTAAACTAAGCGCCGATATCATAGCTTTGCCTCTGACACACACTCTTAACAGTTTTATTATAATCAGCTCTTTTCCGGTGTTTCGCCCATCCTGAAAGTTGGTTCTTCTGGTGAATCTGATCATAACCAACCTATCGCTATCCTACCAGCAATCTCTACTCGATCAAGAACGCCGGGTGCTCCAGGATACTACCTGTGGATACCGCAAGGGTCATTCGACCACTAGCGTTCTTTTACGTATTAGGGACGACATAATTCGAGCAATGAAGAATAGAGTTAACACTCATTGCCTTCGCGTAGTTTTCTAACGCATTTGATACGGTCGACTACTCTGTTGTCATACGTAAGCTACATGCGATTGGATTGTCCAACGCAGCTCTTCTGTGGTTCTTGAGCTACTTGATTAACTGTCAAGAGTTTGTACAAGTCAATGACAAGCCATCTAGTCTTGCAGATGTCCTATTTGGAGTTCCACAGGGCTCAATTCTTGGGCCCGTTCTTTTCAACCTTTATGCAAAAGACATGCAAGATTGCTTACAAGATGGCTCTTCTTGCTTTCAGTACGCTGACGACACTACGGTGCTGCATCACGCCACTCACAAAGACTTCGTTGTCTTTGTAGACAAGATGAAAAAACACTTAGGCAGCATCGAGTGGTGGGCTGCTGATAGTAACCTTCTAATGAATGAGACCAAGACCAAGCAGATGGATATTACCCCCAAGCAAATGTCTAAAGTGCATAATCTTCCCAGATACACTCCACCTATCACCTTTAAAGACAAGACAGTTGATAGACTAGAGAAAATTAAGTTATTAGGAACTTGGCTTAGTGAGGACCTTGAATGGACAGAACATGTAAAAGAGGTCACATCATCACGCTATAACGTGCTTTTCACTCTGAGAAAGGTCAAGAATATGACACCACAAGAGACTAAGAAGGCTCTTGTTCAAAGCGTCGTCCTATTCAAACTTAACTTTAATGACTCCGTCCCTTATCCACTTCCCGCATTTTTTGAAGAAAAGAGTACAACGGGTTCAGAATGCTGCTGCTGGTTTTGTCTTGAATCATTTCTGCTCAGAAAGGGACGTCCTTGAGCTCGGCTGGCTACCTACACTAGAAAATACGCAATTAAATATTCTTAAGCTCGGACATCGAGCTCTTTTTAGTGAAGTTTGGCCCGAATACTTGCAACTGCCTAGGCACCATCCCCAACGGACACTGCGCTCTAGTAATGCGTCTGTAATAGAAATTTCTTTAGTTAAGGGTGCTTTCTAGGACTCGTTAGTGACTTTATTTAATGCCCTACCCGCGAATGTAAGGCGGTATCAAACTTTAATACTTTTAAAAATAATTGTTTTAGAATTTTCAAGAGTAGGGCCAGCATGCGCTTAAGTTGAACCTCATAAGTTGTCTTGATACGGTTTCTTAGTTATGGTACTCATAATATCTATAGTACGTGCAGGATGTAAATAGTAAGCTTTTTTTAGAATTTATAGTTTTCAGTGATTTTTGAGTAACATTATGTAAGTAGTTTTTAGTTAGTATGACGGATGTAAAGCTACCGTGTAGAAACACTGTCAATAAATCGTTATTATTATCATAATTATTATTAAGGCGAATCTAATTAAAGTAAAGCCGTTGCAACATGTATAGAAAACCGAAGGCCAACGATAATAACAACAACTAAGTCTAATATAACAAACTAAAAACTAAATTTAACAACACAAGTTGACGCAGTGGGGCCGACCGTAGAATGTTCATTAAGAGAAAATAATCATTCATTGGCTTGAAACGGCGACCAATAGCGCGGAGATCCATTCATTAGCGCGAAAAAACGAACATTTGCGCATAATTCAGATTCAATAACGATTTTGCATTTTAATCAAAATTCAATAACATTTTAGGGCATTCATGTGTCATTCAGCATACAAAAGAGAAAAATATGCTGTCATTAACACCAACATCCAAGTCATTAACACTATTTTGAAAGTCAATAGGGACAATAGACAAACATTAAAGTGCAAACACTATTCATTAACATTTTTATCACACTATTTGCAATTCAATAGCATTCCTGGACGGCCTTTAAGTACGGATAAGACAAACATGAGTGCGCTTGTACAATCAATTGTACAATCGTCTGTCGTCCCTATTGACTTGTAAGATGGTGTGGAGGCGTTAATTAAAGTATATTTTTCTCTTTTGTATGCCGAATGACGCATATGAATCCCCGAAAAGTGTTATTGAATGTTGATTAAAATGCAAAAATCATAATTAAATTTCATCTATGCGCAAATTTTTGTTTTTTCGCGCTAATGAATTTATCTTCGCAATATTGGTCGCCGTTTCACGTAAATGATTGCGCATTTTATCGTAATGTAAACCTCGCGCGCAACACTCGACGCCGGCAAATTATTAATTTATGTCTATCCTGATTAGCACAAATTACATTTTTTGCCTCCGCTACACGATGAAACACAAAAAGAAACAACATAAAGGCATCGGGGCGTCGGTCAGCCAGGCTCATGCTAGAAAGTAAAAGAAAGGGCTTGAGCTCAGAGAGACAGAGACTTGGAGACTTCAAGCCTGCTTGACAGCGAATCTTAAACGTAAATATTTTTAACTTCTACGGAAGCCCAGCGATCGTGACGCTGAATATTCTCTTCACAAACACCTGAATTGGCGGCCAAAGTAGCTGATCCAGATCTCGCGGAATGGGTACTAAAATTGGAAATGTTAGGCACAATATCTGAAAAAGACGTTTTAAATGAATCCCTGTAAACCGAGTAACTGATAGGCTTGCTAAACGAGACTAAACGCTTATGATTTCTCGAAGACGTAATAGGACGAAAAAGAAACTCGTCAGAATTCTTGACTATCTGTGCCTTCCTCATGTACGCTCGTACAAGAGCACAAGGGCATGTACTGCAATGGGTTTCAGCGATGATAACAGACCTGCACTCTCTTAATTGGTTAGTTTTGTTTTTCTCGATAAAGATAGTAATGTAACCTGAAGAGAACTGAACGTTCTTACTGCGCATAAGACACAACTCTGAACTTCTTGGAAAACTAGAAAAAGCAAGAACAAGCATAACTAAGCTTCTTAATTCCAAAAGATTGTCAAAGTCAGCCCTATCAGCGAGTTGCTTGAGATGGGCCACTTGGAGAGTTCCCTTCCTATGAGATGCTGACTGACTAACAAAGCGAAGAGCTCCCTTCTTCGCAGCAATGATGGTGGGATGAAGGGTAGGAGATTCTAAGCCCGCGACCTTATACACGCACTTGAAAGCGTAAAACGCGCAATTAATGGCAGACACTGAGTTAGATGACTCTAGAAGAAACTGCAAGTATAGGGCGCCGTCCAAAGGGCGGACAGAAAAATCAGGGAGGCCCAAGAACACAACTTCCTCCATCTGTTGAAGGCCCTTGGGTAGTTTCCCGATGTCCCAGACGCCTTTGAAGCGAGGACGGTAAGCGTAAGTCCCTCCTTCAGCTTGATGACTTGGGAATCGTCGGAGCTTTCTGAAGACCAAAAAACGGAGAAGATATCTAAGGATAAAAAGGGAGGAACAGGTGATCAGACGAAAAGAAGTCGACAGCATCAACTCCATAACACGAAGGAACATTTCAGAGAAAATGGGGAACAGTACATAGAACAAAAAAGGTCCATAAAACGGTCATTAGAAGAACTAAACGGGATCCCCCGACGAACAGGCCTTACCCCTACGCGGAAAAGAGTGAGGGAAAACTCTACCGTGATAACATTCAGCCTAACAGGGGCGACGAAAAGCAAATAGAACCCAGCTAGGGTAAATAAACCAATCTCCACAGTCACGAACAATATAACATAGGCACGTTAAACGTGCATGAGCTATTTTGAATGCTTCAGTGTAACTATAATACTTCGGTGTAACCTTACCAAGAGTGATGAATCTACCTTTTTCATCCTAAATGAAGATTTGGTTTTTGTGCCAAATTGGGTATTGCGCTACATAAATGAAAACGCGAAACGCTCAGCTGAGTCGATCCTCAACCTATATATTCACTTTCCTCTGTCTTTCCCTGTTACATCTGGTGCAAGTTAAACAAATTGTTGAAGTAAAATAAATTTCTACTCACCAAACGTTGATTAGAAGGAAAACTCTAAGGTTTCCGCGGAGTTTCTTAAGCCAAAATGTGACTCATCGAATACTGAATAGTTACGAAATACCAGGATTTTTCTCATTGTGGTAGATGGTTGCATCATCATAATGGACGAGGTTTTCACGTGCGATTTTACTCAGTGAAACAGTCTTTGACTCTGACAACTTATTTCTTCATGTTTTAAAAGCTATTGCTTCTTAAAAGACAAGAGCCTCTTTTAAGGCATTGGTTACAAAACGAAACAGGTCTTCATACGTTCAAGTTACTATTTATCATTGTGAAAAGCCAATCTGCATGAGATGTACAGTCACACAGCTGGCACGTGAAAGTGTTGGACTTTGCTCCCTTTCGTGGTTCGTACGTGAGGGAATTCGAGTTATCACACAGTAATCTAGTAAACAGAATTATAAAAATAACTCATGCACACAATTTCCACGTGAAAATGTTGGTCTTTGGCCCTTTTACAATTCGTACGTAAAAAAAGGCAAATTGTTTCACTACAGAATTTTCTCAAGCGATTTTAAGAAATCACCTCGGCTTTATTACAACACCTGCAATTAAATTATGTTTCATGCAACGTCAAGGTTGATAGCCTAACATTTATTAACTACCAAGAAAATTATCAAACTGCCGAAATATATTTCTACTTGTATCATGTTACTCTACTCAATACAACAGTATCTAATTTTGTGTCAACTAGCTTCTTCCAATTTTATTCCCTAACGCTACTGTTTCTACTTAAGTTACTCATCTTTACTAAATAAAATAGGTTTCAGAAACTATAATACTTAGTATGCAGGAAGGATGTGTTATGTTGTTCACTTATTATTCTTTTTTTTTTGTTTTGCCAGGACGAAAAAGGTCTGTTGAACTTTGTAAGCGAGAGAATGATATTTTTAAAGCTTGTTTACAGGATTAACAATACTTGGTACAGCTTTCACAAAAATAAGCTGCCTTTTTAAACTTCTAAAACCACAGTTTATAGGGCGCATACTTTCGAATTAAAGTCCATATCTAAATATCAATTATTGCTTCATTGGAAGAGCTTTGAAAATATATGATCTTTTATACTCTACCCTGTTGTAGCGGGTGAAACAGAACTCATACTGACGTGCGTTGTACCGATAGCCGAATTAGGTCAGAAATGCCTTGAAGCAGCATCCATACTAAAATATGAACCCTTTAACCTGCTGCATCACTGTACACAGCGTTTGAATCATGAAGATATTTAATGTAATTCTTCCAAACACCTGTAGCCGTAATAAAAGACGAAAAAATTGTGAAGAATCAAGATGGCGGTCTCAAAGTGCCCTTGTTCGACCTTTACCAATGTCATGTTTAAGTAGATACTAAGATCTCATTGGTTCCTAAGCATCAACTAATAGTACCTTCAACCTTATTGGCTCTTGCAACAAACATCCGAACATACAAAGTTACAAAGCCACAAAGATACATACGCTCACACCACTGACATATGAGCTATTTTTTCAAAATAGCTCAAAAATGTTAAATTCCAACAGCTTCATCAAGCATATATTTATATATCAAGGGCCTAATAACAAACCCATCGAGGGCGCCCATCTAGGGCAACGTATGACCATTAACAAATAGTATGACATAACGTAAATACCCCAGTGAACAAGGTCCCCTCAAGGAAAAAAAAGGATGTAAACCGGGAAAAATATACTCGCTTGAATAAATCAACAAAAAATAAATTCATAGAAAAAAATAGTTGAACTGGCCCAAAACTCTCCAGGAACGATTAAGGTGACCTGCGAAGACTCGAAACCTACACTAAAAGGCATGCTAAAGTCTATACCCAGAGCCACTGAAAGAAACGACAGAGGCATACACCCAAAAATAGAAATCAAGGCTTTATATGCAATGAATAAATTCGGGAAATTAGGCAGAGTAACCCAATCATGAATGAAGTTACTCCAGGGGACCCCATCAGAACAAATCAGTGGCCAGAAATGGGCCGACTTCCAAACTGGAACGATGAGAGATCCCTTGGCACGGTAAAGCTTCATGTGCTTGATAACCTTACAGCCTAGGTAAACCGGGGGAAACAGCCAGCTGTTATTTTGACGCCAATCGTGGGAAAATGCCTTGACGCCGCTCAAACCGGGTTAACAAAATCTGGAATTGAAGCACTGAACTTTTGCGTTAAAAGGGCAAGCGAACCCATCGCAGGTATGCAGACCCCACAGGTCGTCCAGGGCATTGAAAACTATGTCGTTGATAGCGTAGTCATCATGATCGGCAAACTTGCTTATGTGATCGTCAGCACTATGAGATCTCTGGCGCAATCCACTGAATATCAATACTGACGCCATTCAGCAAGCAGCTCTGAAAAATATCTAATCCCAAGCTCTGTAAGGCCGGAACCCTGGAACCGGAATAGACAATACACACGACGTTCTGATTATCGGTAAACCCTGTAAGTGGAACTTTGCGATCTCTTGAAATCCGATCAATTTTGATGAAAAACTTTGCCCTCGAACTCGATGAAACTTAGAAGACTTATTACCATCTGGCCAAATAGAAATACCGATAAGACTCGTTACGTTAGATCTCAAGAAAAACAACTCATCCAGACTCTCGGACGAAAGGGAAACAGCTAGCGCACCGGGATACCAGCAGAAGACGTCGACAGAAGAAATCCAAAACGTCCAGCAAACTGATAATCCAATTGTCAGTGATGGTGATTCGTGAACCAGACATATCGATAACGACCCCAAGCCAAATGATAACCTGAGACGGTTTCTAGACTGATTTGGATTCGTAAGCGAGAAAACCGGAACGGCACAATTCAGCGTGAACCTCTAGACTAGCAATCTTGGCGTTGGTGAACCAGCAGCAGACCCGAGGCCGGAAAAAACGGAATAAACCAAATCAGATGAATTGTTCCCAGCTGAAAAAGGCGTTGGAATTTGAAGAAGTGGAACTTGAACTTTATAGCTAACTCAACCACATCAGGAATATACTGAGGCGCCCGAAATTTCTCTACAAAAATTGATTGCCTGACGCAACCTTTCTTTCACTGAAAGGTGGTATTCTTAGCCCGAGTTATATTTGCGATGCCCGCAAGAGTCCTTAATACTTATCCATTGGTTAAAAGTCGAAATCCTCGTCAGGCTCAACATCAGAGAATCACTTGGAAGACTGCATGGCATTCGTCTGCTGCAAAACGGGACACGAAGCTCTCCAATGGCCAGGTTTGCCACACGCAAAACAAACACCAGAAGCAGATCTTTGTGAGGATTGCTGTTGATTGACACGCGAGAAACGATTCGGCAACTGGGAAATCGCGAGCTGGGGAGACTTGGCTTGAACAGCGGGAACAAATCTTCGTTGTTGCTGAACTGAACGTGAAGCGGATAGCTTAACTGCTCTTGCCGCCCTCGATTCCGCTCTACAAATTATAAATCTTCTTCTCGTCTTCTTCATCGTCGGCTAGGTCTTGCTGCTTATACTCTAGTACAGTCTTCCAGCCAAACGGTGACTTGTCAGCTAGCAAAATCAGAGCCATACCTTTGTCCAATGCTTCCTTCGTTTTTTCGAGATCTCTTTTTTCCAAAGCAGCCTGAGCGTCCTCTACAGCCTTGATGGCTATATATTTGTCCTCGTTACTCTTCTTGTAACCTGAGGGACAGGATCACCCTTAATCCTATTTATTTCAGCCATCTGTTGAAAAGTCGTAGCTTCGTTAGCACGCTTAAGATCTGAAATTGACTCTGAAACAAGAGCTTTGCTTTGAGACATAAGATCCTTATGGCTTGCAGCGATTGTACTAGAAACTTGTGCTTCGTCCATGGCCGATACCTCGATACGCGATACCTCGCGCGCAGCACTTGACCCAATCCTCCGCACTGTGCCGGCAAAATATTACTTTATGTCAAACCTTATTAACACAACTTAGATAATTTCTCATACTTATAAATAATTATACGAATGTTTGGAAAATCAACCAATCAAAACCACTTCCCCGGTTTTCGGGTAGTGACGTTACTGGACGGCATTAATGGCTTGTTGATTCAGACGTACCCTTCGGGAGTATGCGACTCGAAGGGATGTCTGAAATTCGGGTATCGTTACTCTAGATACATTTACAATGGATACTTTCTCCACTTGCCATTTAGTTTAAAATATCAATAAGATTTTTGTTAAATCCTTTTGAACCCGTTAGGAAAGTAGAGGTAATTTTGTGGAGCAGAATACTCTCTATTTCAGTCTGAATAGGGAGTTGTAATTAAATTTCTTTCCAATTCCCTCTACTTCTCTATAAAATGACGATGATGATGATAATAACAGCGAGAAATTGAGTCGTACTAGTGGAGTTTTTAAACTGACGAACAGGCACACAATGTCGAAGGTACGTACGTTGTGCCACGAACGATAACAGTTTCGCGTCTTGTTGCTATTTGTTCTAAAAGCCGGGATCCTTTTTTCATAGATGAGGCTGATGAGGGAAGGTGGAATGTTAACCAAGCAACGAGAAAATTTGTTTCGTCAGCTGGAGAAAATGGTTGGAAGACTGCGTTGAAGGGTGGGGTGGAATTTGACGAAAAGATCTTGGAAAGACATGTCGTGGACAAAAATCCTGAAGAATATATAGATCTCGATGTAGTAAGATACGATTTGGAATTTTTGACGCCAAGCAGTCATGCGCTGATATTTAAGGTAAGGTATAATT